CACCAAAGGCCTTGGGGTGGAGACTCGTAAGGTGTCAGGTGTTTGGTCCTAGTGATGACACCACTTACCCGATCACTGGGCAGCTAATGCAGCTCTCTCTGAAGGATGGCACCTGTTACCCACAGTTGCCGTTTGTCTTCCAGTTCAGTTTTATCTGAACCTGGCCATTATCTTCAGAAGGATCCTAGGAGGACCGGGGTGGATGTTCAGGGAGTAGGGGAGCTGTTGCCACTTACAGAGGGTCAGGGACACCTGATAGATGACTTGTATACCCTAGACCATGTCTCTCTGTGATCCGGGTAGAATATCAGAGATCTGTTTTCAGTCTTTCCACTCTCCCTCTTCCAAAAAAAGACATAAAAGGGAGCTTGCTAAAGGTGGTTAAAAGTCCAAACTTGCACAACTTAAAATCTACTAGTTATCACCATATTCTATGTAGATACCAGCAAAGTTGCCATTCCTCATAAAGGAAGTTAAGTTGACTATCTGAATAGAGAGATTGTGTGGATTGCAATACTTCCCTCATTGTTCCGAGGTCATCTACAGAGCCTATTTCTACCCATTTACATTAAATTGCCCTTTATGAATGTGATTACTATTCGGGTATGTGGATATTACTGAAAAGATAAAAATGTGACCAATTTTTTTCCCCACAGAGTGCGTGAACAAGGATAGTAAAAACTCAGAATTTGCTTGGAGAACAAAATCCACTCATGTAACCCCTCATTGTGCTTTGTACCACCCACTTTGGGTAGCTGCTATTCCCTATAGTTAAGAAGGAATTTAACCTTTGCTCTCAAATGGCAGCTGAACAGCAACTAACCAGAAATCAGTAAGGGCATTTCATAGCAAATGATCATTTGTCTTGGCAATAGGAATTGTTAAAAATTGTTAAAAATATGGATGGATGGAAGCCAAGTGGATAAATAGAAGGGTGGTTAGATGAGTGAATGGATGGATAATGGGTGGATGATAACAGAAAGATAGATGGATGAATGCACAGGGACAGGTTGGAAGGGAAGTAAAACAAAACCTGTAAGATGTGGTTGACTCAGTGGCAACTTGAATGTGGAAAGGTAATTTACATGGACTACAACTGTGTTTGTAGTATTAATGTACTTAGCAATATTTCTCAAAACATGACCTACACTCTACAGTTGTCAAAAAAAATTGGGGCATTTGTCAAAAATGCAGGCTACTGGGCTCCTCTTGAGAACTTCAAAGTTAGAATCCCTAAATTGGGTCCAGGAATCTGCATTTTCACAAGTCCTCCATGCACAGAAAAGTTTAAAATCATGCAGAGGTAGTGTTGCTAAATCAACAAAATAAAGCAGCTTCATTATTCTTTTTAATTTTTATGCCTCTGGAAAAAATAAGGGAAGGAAAAGGAGCAAAGTCTCTCATTAGGAATGACACCACAGGCACATGGAGTGAAAGCAAACAAATGTAGATGGGTCACTGGAGAACAGACTGATCACACACGCTGGTGATCACTGAGCACTCCATGCTGTAACACAGGAAATATGTCTGCTAGCCTAAAGACACTCTGTGCAATAATTTGAGGATTATATGAGCGGCATCTGCCATCTCCATATGGGGGAATAGTGAATACTTTTATAAAATGATACTTTCTTTCACAGAAAATGCATCTTGAACATTTTAATACAATGCAAATGGAAATTATACAGAAATAGCAGTCTATCCCCATCAGTAATGCAGGGACAGTTAATTCATAGATGGTAGGGCACATGTATCAGGAGAACGGAAATTTATTTCAATACAAATGCCTAGAGGCTTAGAGCATTGTGTGCATTTAAATTTTAAAAATGGCATAGGTGTGTGTTTAGTATAAATGACTAGAATTACAGCTTAGCTTATGAATTCTGTGCGTTTCAGAAATAAATTCCCGGAAGCTAATGACTTTAACACCAACGTGTGATTCAAGTTTCAACATTCATCCTCACAACACTCACGGATTCGAAATCCATTCTCAGTATTGACTCTGGGGCTTTCTCCATGAGACAAGCACAGTGTGAGGAATGCATTTATTAACCCCCCCTCCCACAGCATCATCTTCATTTCCTCTCTAGCTCAGCCTAATGGCCAGGTCCCGCCCAGCTGAAATACCATGTCCAATACCATGTCCGTGGTGACAATCTGGAGGGTCAGGCAGGATTTCATTGTTTGACGTCACAGCAGATTATATTCTGAGAACATGATGCTCCCCCTTAAATCTTATTCTAAGACAGGCAGACAGAAAATTCCGTCTCCCCCAAACACTCAAGATATCCTCCTATTTCAAATACATGAAAATGTATTTGGTTCCATGAACCCTCTGAGTCTGTCTCCCTGTTTGTAAATGGCAATAATACCTGTTTCCAGGGCTGACAATGCTCACCTGGCGTGTCTGCTGCCATGTCTGTATCCACTGTCCGCTATGGTTCCTTCTTACCCAGACGGTTGTTAAAGGTTTTGAATGTCACCTGTGCCTATTTCATACAAGTGGTTACATCAAATGAAATCATGATAGCCATTATTTATGGAAGAAGATGTTGTTTAATAAATTGGAGGTCATATAAACTAAGTCCTTAAATGATATTATGTGAAGTGAACTCAACTCAAGGTGAGAAAGTGGGATCCAGGTGCCCTCACCCATAAGCAGCACGGTTCGGCTCACCCTCACCCATGCTCTGACCACTGTAAATGTTGCCCATCAACCTCCAAGTCCTCAACAATTTCCTAAGTTCCTTTTCCAACATCAGGTCGGCCTTCTCTGGACCTGGACTCCCTCTGCATCAAATGGGTAGAGCTTGAAGCCTTCCCAACCTGTCCTTCAGGTCCCTGCTGTTGTGAACACAATTTCCACATTTAAATTGAGTGAGGAGTCTCTGGACATCACTAACAAACAGATAAACCTCTGCAAAGCAAAATGTAACCTATGACCCCATTTCCTGGACTGCTGTCACCTCGATGGGACATGGTCATTGGCAAACCAGACTCTTTCCAAAAGGTAGAAACAGGGAAGGAGAGATATGAAAATGCTCATGCGCAGCACTGGTCTGAGGACTGAATGTAGTCAGCCTGGGAAGCCAGGTTTACAGAGCATCATCAGGGCAGACTCAAGTCCGTCCACCACATGGTAAGGAAATTGCACTTACTTTACAAGGCTCTGGGGTGGGGGCTGGGGAACCAGGATTAGGGTAGAAATGGAAGTCACCATGAGATAGATTCTAGATTAATGTAAGTTCAAATTTTAAAAATGAAAGCCTTTTAAGTTGAAGCTTGTTTGCTGTGGCCCGGAGAGTTCTGGGGCTGGTCTTGATTAGGCCGAGGCCAGGGAATGCTCGGGGGTGTTGTGGAGCACGGGAAAGCCTTTGATCTGTGTTTGAGTTACATGGACTCCCAATGTTGAGATCCAAGGACTCTAAACTGTGAGCAAAGAAAGATACTAATCTTTTCAATTTGAAATCTTATGCTCAAAGCCTGCCATCAGTTAAAAAGTTTGCATTAACTCATTGGTGGCTGTTTGAAAAGACTGTTAGACATCAGTCATTTTGCCATGGGGATAAAAGACCCTGTTTAGCCCTAGCTGGCTTGGCTCAGTGGATAAAGCATCAGCCTGAGGACCAAAGGGTCCTGGGTTTGATTCTAGTCCAGGGCACGTATCTTGGTTGCAGGTTCCTCCCCAGCCAGGGTCCTGGTCAGGGTGAGTGCAGGAGGCAACTAATCGATGTGTTGCTCTCACATTGATATTTCTGTCTTTCCCTCTCTCTTCCACTCTCTCTAAAAAGATCAAAGGAAAAATATCCTCTAGTGAGCGAATTCTTTTAAATTCTGGTCTGGGGTACATGCCTGGGTTGCAGGCTTGATCCCCAATAGGGGCGTTCAGGAGATGGCCAATCAATGACTCCTTCTCATCATTGATGTTTCTCTCTCTCTCTCTCCCTTCTTCTCTGAGATCAATTAAAAAAACAACAACCATGAACGTCCCTGATCTTGGGGGTTTATATTCTAATAGGATGTTAGAGACAATTTTCGATATACACAAAGAACACTCAATTGCACAGTGCTAAAAGAACCATGAGAAGGAAAGGGAGTTAGCACACTGGAGGTGTGGCCAACATCTGCACACTAAGGGGACTCAGAAATCAGGCAGGGAATTCGACGGGTGGCTGAAACCCACAATACAAGTAATCGCAACTTTCCCTTACTTAATAGTAGTCACTAAACTTATTACCAGTAGCCTAAATGGAGAGCAAAACTGACCGGTTGGAATCTCACTTCTGATACTGGTGGCTTTTCTCCCCTTGTGTTTGCTGGAGGTCAGATGTCAACAGGAACTCAGGAGATGGCAGGCAGAGGAGGAGAAAGAATTTGGTCACATCACAGGTGGAGTGGTTCGCTTGGCCGGCCCAGGAGCTGCCCTGCCCTTTTCTTAGAACTCTAGCACGGAGCTCAATTTCATAAGAGGCTGAAGAGATATGGTTGAATGGGACTCGATGCAGCAAACTGGCCCAACATGTTTGGAAATAATTTGGCATCGTGCCAGCACTATAAAAAGTACTCAGGTTCCACAGCCTTGTCATCTTAAGTTTTAAATACGTGCACTGTTTATATCACAAGAAGAGGAATCGCTACCTATAAATAATTCAGCATACAAGAAAAAAGAGCAGCAAATGAAAGAAAACATTTCCATAATTCCCATCCTCTGTGGCCAGTGTCTTGTATGTTCTCTCAGACTTTTGGAAGTTAGATGTGTGTGTACATGTTTGTGTGTCTAGTAGAATACTGTGTGTATGTGTACAATAGTATCTAGAAGTCTGCATGATACCTAGACAGACAGTATCTTAAAAATAGCTTCACACATGTTCCGTTCTGTGACTTACCATGACGTTACAGACATCTGTGTGTGTCAGCACAGCAGAGAACCTCATTTTCATGTACAACAGTATAAAATTCCATGTATGACAATAGTGTATTCAACTTTTTTTTTTTGGGGGGGGGGCTCCAGGACCAACCATCACCAGCTGCCCAAGTACCAAAAAAATTATGCTTCCAAAATTTCTTGATGTGGATTCCGCACATAGAGCAATCAGGCTGCTCTGGGTGCACCACTCACATAGAGGCCCTTTTTCATCTGACCCCTTTCTGATGAACATTATCTTTTTCAAACTTTACATGTAGAAAAGGTTCTTCAAGAGATATTAGGCATGCATGTAATAAAAATAAAACAGTGTGTGTGTGCTGAGTGTTAAACTATCAGTGGAATTGCCACATCAGAAGTAGCACTTTTCACATTCTGATATTTAGGTTTCCTCCCTCAATGTGGTGTCACATAGCAGGAGGTGCCTATTTATTCACATGTTCGTCATAAAACTGGTATTAATAGCTTAGTCTTTGGCAATCTAATCGCTGAAAATTAATATCCTGTACTCTTAATTTGTATTTCTATGATTGTTGCTAAAAATTAGACACACAAACGGCTGGTGAATGTGTGAGGTGCTATTTCTGGGCACCAGTTGTCTGTGTTTTGCATATCTCTCTTTGCTTGCCTTCTACATGACTTTTATGTATACTTTTCTCACTTGTTGATTTTTATGAGATCTTTGGCCAAATCTATTCTTTTTTTCTTTATATAATATTTTGGTCTTGGTCTTATATTAATATAATAATCTCCACACCCCCAAATTAAGATGATATCCTCTTATTTACATATTTCATTTTCATATATTTAGCCAAAGTAGGTTTATAGTTGTTTACATAGAAAATGCAATGGTTAATTCAAGGATAAACTGTTTTGTGTACTCATAACTATGATTTACTTTTATCTACCCCTGAATATTAATCCACCAATAAATTATTTTATGAATGTTGTAATGTAGGCAGCCAACTTCTTCCTTTTCCCCCAAAGATTATCCAATGTCTCGCTTTATTGTACAATCAAATGTTACTTTTTTTACTTGAAATATAATCTTTATTATACAGTTATAAAATCCCCAAATGGGCATGGGTCTATTTTTGTATTCTTTGTTAAAAAAAAAAATCATCTGTCTCTCTGCCCATTACACTATTTGGGATAGCTAGCCTTCCTTTAAAACTTCAGGGTGTGCCCTCGCCTGTGTTGCTCAGTGGTTAGAGGGTCAGCCTGTGCACTGAAGGGTCTGGGTTTGATTCTTGGTCAAAGGCATATACCTGGGGTTTTGGACTCACTCCACGACCCCGATCAGGGTACATACGGGAAGCAACCAGTTGACGTGTCTCTCTCTCCCTCCCTCTCACTATCTTAAAAATCAATGGGCCAAAAAACTGCTGGGTGGATCTTTGATAAGTTATCAATTTTGTCACAGCTTTTGGTAATGCTTCTATGTATTCTAAAGAAATAACTTGGAAATACACAATGCAAAGATATTCTTTGAAGTGTTGTTTCTCGGTGAGAAATTGAAAGCAACCCAGTTATCCAACAAAAGGGGAGTAGCCAGTCGTGTTAGATGATTGTGCAGCCACAAAAACTAACAAGCATGAACACCACATAGTAAAAACAAAGAATTCAGGATATAAAAGTGAGTGTACTAGTATATGATCACCTAAATCCTGTGAAACAATGTGTATGAGAGTGACAAGGTCCCCACCACACAATCATATGTGATTGCAGATGGTTTTCTGTCTGACGTGGTGTAAGGATCACAGCAAGGGCTCTCTGATTTGCTGCCTGGTTCTTATTCAAGCTCCACCATCTGCAGGCTTTATAACCATGGACAAACCCTACAACCTCCCCGTGCCTCAGTTTTCCTCTGTATCAGCTGTGGGGATCAAATATATTAATAGTTATGCAGACACACGGGCATTTCTGGCACACAACCTATACTATGTGAAGTGTTTGCAAGTTTTTAAAAACAGGTTAAAGACAGAACAGTGTTCATTATTTTCTTCCTCAAATGCACCCCATAAAAACGCCCGCTTTAATAATTGCATCTGGCTGTTCCTTAACGAAAAGAAGAAACTGCTGAGAGATACGATAGAGCTGGGAAGTATGAGGGACAAGATTTCAAAGAAGCAAGATAAGCTCTTTTCCAAATAAATTACCTTCTCTCAACCAGCACATACTTACACAAGAGCCCCGAAAGGGAGGGACAGGGAAGGCGACAGGAGAGTGACGTGTGTTGCAGAGAAGCGGAGATGAAGAGAGAACAGTCTCCACTCCTTGGGAAGACGAGTCTGAGTAAAAGTGGACCAGTCCTCTGTCCCAGAGCGGGGCTGCCCGCTTCTTCCCAAACGGGCTGCTTCCTTCCCTTGTGTTTATTTCACCCTCTTGATGGGGAAATATATTTCCATTCCTGGAGCAGAGCATGAATATTTTAGGGCATCCTCAGTCGTTTCATCAGGGGACTGAGCCCCCGAGCATTTAGACTAGGCAGCTGTCTGGAATGATCTGCAGGCTTTTTCTCGGTGGTAGCTATTTCTGCCTGGACAGCCTTGCTTCATAGCACGGTATTTCAGTCTGCGTTCCTCAGGCTGCAGTACTTTTCATCAACAAATAGGGGTTTCACTGTCATTGTTTTCCATTCCCCCTCATTCCAGGTCAGAGAACTCTGTCTCTCCCTGATGAAAAGTGTCTTTGCCAGCCCGGAGCGCCCAGCTGTCTGTGGCAGTGCAGTGGTGGTGTGGTGACTTGCTCCAGTCCTCGTAAGCTAGGATTTAACACCAACCAGGCACTTGCTCCAGTCCTCCTAAGCTAGGATTTAACACCAACCAGGCCCCGTGCTGCGCCTGTGAGATGAGGGGATTGGCTTTGTCTTGTGAAGCATTTCCTGTTTATCCAAGAGGCTGTGCAGGGAAAAAGCCAACCTCTGAGGGAAATCCCGGCAATACCTGTCTTCCTACCTCGCTCCCTGCACACGTTACAAAAATCAACCCTCAAAACAGCTAGAGAACAAAAGGGCCATTTTCATTCTACAGACAAAGAAAGGAAGGCAAGTGACAAAGTGAAGCCCTCATCTTCAGTCGATGTGCCCTAGGAAGCACCAAATGAGGGACGTGTGCAGGAAAACTTAACACAGGGTCTTGAACGTCTACCAGTATTCAGTTCAAAACACTTCTCTGCACATAGTAGGTGAATCAAACTAAAATTAGGAATAAAGTCAAGGCCTCGTGCAATTGGGGCTGATGGGGGAGGAATCACAGTGGAGGAATCCGTCTCTGCATGTTCACAGCGGAACCCAGAGATTATTTGTGATGAGTCCTAGAGTTGACGGCAGACAAACTGAGGAGAGATTCACAACACCGTGGAGTCCAGGACAGAGGCAGGATGGAATCTACCTCCTCCCATGATGTTCGAGCTCCTTCCAGCCCACAGGGCTGCTACCACAAAGGACTAGACTGAGTGATGAGCAGATCCAGATTTATTGATGTTTCTCTCTCTCTCTCTTTCCATCTCCCTTCCATTCTAAAATCAGTAAAAATATTTTTAAAAAAGATACCAATAGCCTATTTCACAGACTTGGAACAAGTATTTCACAAATTTATATGGAGCCCAAAAAGACCACAAATAGCTGCAGCAATCTTGAGAAAGAAGAACCAATTTGGAGGGATCACAATGCCAGATATCAAACTATACAACAAAGCAACTGTAATTAAAACAGCCTGGTCCTGGCACAAGAACAGGCATATAGATCAAGGGAACAGAACAGAGAGTCCAGAAATCAACCCAAGCCATTGTGCTCAATTAATATTTGACAAAGGAGGCAAGAGCATACAATGGAGTAAAGACACTCTCTTCAATAAATGGTGTTGGACAGATACATGCAAAAAAATGAAACTAGACCCCCAACTTACACCATACACAAGAATAAAGTCAAAATGGATAAAAGACTTAAATGTAAGTCACGGAACCAGAAAAATCCTAGAAGAAAACAGAGAGTAAAATCTCAGACATCTCGTATAGCAATGTTTTTGCTGATATGTCTCTGAGGGCAAGAGAAACAGAAAAAAATAAACAAATGGGATGACATCAAAATAAAAAGCTTCTGTACAGCAAAAGAAACCAGCATCAAAATGCAAAGGGAATTACTATATGGGAGAACATTTGGCAGTGATGCATGATGGGTTAATTTCCAAAATACAAACAATCCAATTAAAAAAAGGGCAAAGGACTTAAATAGGTATTTCTCCAAAGAAGTCATACAGATGGCCAATAGACATACGAAGAAATGTTCAACATCTCAATCATCAGAGAGATGCAAATTAAAGCCATAATGAGATAGCACTTCACACCTGCCAGAATGGCTGCCCTCAGTAAATCAACTAACAGGTGCTGGCGAAGTGCTGGTGGGGGAAAAGGGAACCCTCGTGCACTGCTGGTGGGGATGCAGACTGGTGCAGCCTCTATGGAAAACATCGTAGAGTTACTTTAAAAAAAAATGAAAATGGCATTGTCTTTTGACTCAGCAACCCCACTTCCAGAGATATATCCTAAGAAACCCAAAACACCAATTCAAAAGAACATATGTGCCCTATGTTCATAGCAGCATTATTTGCAATAGCTAAGATCTGGAAACAGCCCAAGTGGCCATGAGTGGATAAAAAGCTGTGGTACATTTATACAACGAAATACTATGCAGTGATGAAAATGAAGAATCTCTTACCTTTTGTGACAGCATGATGGACCTGGAAACTATTAGGCTAAGTAAAATAAGCCAGTCAGAGGGGAAAAAATACCATATGATTTCACTTATATGTGGAATCTAATGAACAAAAACTGAGGAACAAAATAGAGACAGGTATGGATACATGTTAATAGATTGTCAGCTGTCAGAGAGAAGGGAAAAGAAGGACTAGAGATTGAGGGGGCAGGGGCAGTCTAGAAGGGATCAATGTGGGGGGAGGGATATCTGTAATACTGTACTTAGAACAATAAATTATTTTTTTTAAAGTGAAGGGATTAATCAAAGGATATATATATGCATAACCCATGGACACAGTGTGGTGATGACCAGAGGGAATAGAGGGTGGGGGCGAGGGCTGGGTGTAGGTAGGTGAAGGGGGATGGTGAATGGGGTCATCTGTGATAATGTCAACAATAAAAATAAAGTTATAAAAAAGTGATGATTCAGTGGTATTTGGTACATTCATGATGTT